AGTCACAAGAACGTCGAATCTGAATCACTTGAAAAAAACACGGGGGTGCTTAACTTTTTTCCAGGTGTATATTTAGATATACAATAACATGGTTCTCCATGCTGCACCAACTACAGTGTAAACTACAAAGGATAAATATTTTTGTTTGTATTTACGCACAAATCTACACAATGGGCTATCTACGCTGTGCCTATTATTGGTATCGAAACCAGATTTTTAGCGTTATAAGCCCGCAAGAGGACAAACTTAATCCTAGAGAGCGGCTGTTCTGTTGGACCGATATTTGCCAGAATCGAACGAGATGATCCAGAGCCAAAGAAATAATTTTAACATTCTGAGTAACTTCATCCTGTGGGCTTATAGTGTGCCCAACAGTCACGAATATGGATATGGTGAGTTTCTAGCCCGCTATTTTATCAAAGAAGGAGTTATCACTCCATGATATGAAGTCAATTATGGGTTATATCATGCCTGGATATTACTCCAAGAGACGTATAGAAGAACAAACTGACCTGTGGATTAGAAGAGACAGTCCACAAATAAATAGCCTCATTTTCGTCAGTAATTCTAACAAGTCATTAGAATGGCTGAAAGAAGATTTTAACTCATCGTGGCACTGCAGGACCTTGTACTATTTATCACAGAGAGTTTGTTTAAGGGCAAAGCCACATTGAGCGATATGCTTTATCCACTGCGGGAATTGAACTCCGGATATTAGCGTTGTAAGTACGTTGACTTACCTCTGTTCCACTGGGGGACATCACCGACAGAACTGAAAGTACACTGGTTTAATGTCTGTTTTGAATATTAATGTTAAGCTACACGAAGGCTATCTGAAATAGTCATCACCAATTTTGAACTAACAAACTACAGGGAAGACAACTATTTAACAGCAACCACTGCCAACTCTTGGGCTACTCTAATTGAATAGTAGGATTTAACCGTCGCTCTTATCAACAGCTCGAAAGTGCGGGTCGTGATTGTGTAGCAATGAAGCGCGAACCATGGACCCTAAGACTTATAAGTCGTCACGCTAACCATTAAATCTCACTCAGCCCGAGTACAGCGACAGAATAGATAAAATGGCGCAGTTTAATACCATATAATATATGCAATAGGAGAATTATTACTTTATTTAATCATAATATATTTAAAACTAAATTTAGACACAAAAAACATTTGGTTTGGCTACACAATGGACTCTCTGTGCTCTGTCCACCTTAGATATTGAAAGTCGATTTTGAGCGTCGTAAGCCCGCAAGGTTACGACTGAGCCAATGGGGGTATACACATAAAACAAGAACTAGTTGTACATCTAATTAATATAATTAAAAACTACTGTCCTGTAGCGGACAATGTGAAAAGGGAATAAGTTTATGACAGCAAAAAAGAATATATGGAAGCAACATAGAGTTCAGATGCAGCTCAAATGGAATTAGTTATATTTTTGAAATATAAATGCGAATAAATACGTGTGTGCAATTACAGTACAACATCAACGAGCTTTCTTTTGCTTATGCTTATTATATTACTTTATTACTTAGTTTAGTACCCCCAGTGCCTCAGCTGTAGGTTTGCAAGCTTAAGACGTTAAAAAATCGAGTTTTGATACTCATGGTGAGCGGAGCACAGATAGCCCAATGTTTATCTTTACGCTTAACCACAACGAGCGATTTTAGTTTAGGTTATTAGATAACTGATTAAGAAAGTGTTTCTTCTTAAGTTTAATCTTAAAACTGGATATACTATTTATTGATTTCCAGTAACTATAGGCGAATCATTTCGAAGCCTTGGGTTACTGCTCTTTACATCAGTCATCATTTTGAAGCCTTGGGTCAGTGCTTTTACACCGGTCATCATTTCGAAACCTTGAATGACCGATGTAAAGAGCAGTGGTTATTTTGAAGCCATGGACCACTATTCCTTACATCGGTCATCATTTCGAAGCCATGGACCACTATTCCTTACATCAGTCATCATTTCTAAGCCTTGGGCCACTGCTCAAAGTGAACTGAATATTACTATTAAAGGATCACTAGAAATTTTGTGCTGTGAAACAAATAATTCTTCGTTAAATAGTGTTACGACAGGGGAAGTCACGCGATGCTGGGAGCATGCACGCTGGAGTTTCTCGAAGGATCATGAAAATTTGCCCGCCAGCTCGAATGTGATCTAGA